CAGGACCTGGTTTTTAAAATTTGGGTCCAAAGACCGGGTCCTAAAGTCCCGGACCTAAGGACTTTGCCAACCCTACTGCAGATACGAAGTCAAGAGAAAATGGTGCAGGAATACCAGAATACGCAGAGACTACGCGATGTACAAAATTTTGTAAAGCTGCCGTAAGTTGATTGGTAGATTTAAGAGATGCCTCAATAAGGTTAAGAATATGTGACCAATGGCAGGTAGAATTGGAAATATCCCACTTCTTGGAAAAAACGAGATCAGTTTTAGTTTTGACGAGTTCCGGGGTATATTCACCAGTTAAGTCGATTAAAGCACCACTATTAAAGAGCTTTATCAGAATAAAGGCTATAAAAATGATATAGTTATAGAAATACTTACCCAAGAAATTTTGACTTATCTGCAATGTAATTATTAACATCTTCCAAAAACCGATAGGCACTCAAGGTATCTGTACTCCAATCAGCCTGACATTGAAAAGACTTACATTTTTCGACATGTTCTGAAGTGCGCATAATTTTTACCCACTCAGAGCTATGAATGGAAATGTCAATATGAACTTTTTTCGTCGATCACTCAATTAGGAAATTGCGACTTACGTTGAAAATATCTGCTCCTGATGACACCATGGACACTGCACAACAAAGCTCTTTTTATTTTCCAGATCCAAAATCCATGGCTCTCCGGTTTTTTGCTCCCATATTTCTTGCGAAATAGGATCAACGTGCATACCTCCAGTCTTCAACCAGAGATTGTACTTTAACAAATAATAGAATACAACAATGAGATAATTTTTGCATTTTATTAAAAAGATGTACTTTAACAAATAATAGAATACAACAATGAGATAATTTTTGCATTTTATTAAAAAGAATTAAATAAAAGTTGTTATACTTACAAGTTCCTTCAATGGGAAGTTGCCAATATTTTAATTAACGTCGTGAATACGTTTTAAGTCTTCATAATATTTACGTGGGGCGAGAAAATGTGAGTGCCATATGTAGGCAACATCTATTAAAGCATGACGACAATTATGAATATACTGTATTAACTACCAATTGGCGGCAATGGAACAGTCTTTTCATCTTTATAATTGCTCATCATTTTTAACCATTTTATGTATCGATCTTGAGCACATAATAAGTACCTAGATGAAATGGCATAAATAATTTTCACATTAAATCTTAATTATAATTAGAAAGAACAGTTTAACCTCGAAGCTCTTTTATTTACATCATATCTGCCTCATAATTCTTTTGTTCCAGTTCTTTGAATTTTCCTAATAACAATAAATGCGCTTGCAACGTTTGCTGGTTAACAACGCCATCAACGTTCAATGGTTCTTTACCGAGGGCTAATTCGAACGGCAATACTGTGTCATCACAGTTTTGTTTCTTATTAACTGATGGCATTGCATTAATTTTTTGCCTAACGAACGAAAGGTCAGTCACAATCTAGTTTTATATTAGAAATACATATATTTGTTCCATCACGTACTGTACATAGTGCAAGTAAACTTATCCATATAAATATCTAAATATGGAAAGATCAAAGAATGAATTGGTGCGAATGTAAAATGTTGAACAAATTGACTATTTTTCTTTTTTCTTCTGTAAACATCCCGAAGTTTATAGTTATAATGACAGAATTATAAACTAAAGTATGTCATGCTAAACGAAGTAAAATTGTACGCCATGACCCATTGTTTCAATCATTAAAAATATTAGTGTTTGTTTTTTTTTTTTGTTGGGACAAGAGCTTTACATCAATTTCGGGACAAACGAAAAAGTAATAGCCGATTGAATGCAGAGCAAAAATGAAATTCTGATTTAACCTCTATCTCAGAATCACTAAACTCTATATTTGTATAATCTATAAGATTCCTTATATTTATTGATTTAAGTGTAAAAATGTGGAATGGTTTGTCGTTATTATCCAGTATCTTCTTTGCCAGTACCCACGTTTTTCAGTGGTGTATTCGTAACAAAAAACTCAATTGTTCCTTCTGGTTGTTTAAGAGAGTTGTAGAGAATCTCTAATATCTGATGGTCCTACATGATATTTCTTATCTTTAGTAATACGATTCAGCGAATTTACGGAATGACATGAGTACCCTTTTCTTTCGGCATTACTCATTTTCAGATTTTGAAACCAATTATTTTAGTATTACTAAACAAACATTATAGGAACCCTTTTCTCTTGGCATTCTCATTCAGATTTTGATATAATTATTTAGTATTACAAAACAGATCCATAAAATTAGATCTTGCAAATTTAAAGGAGTTAAATAAAGATCAAATCCGCTAGATTGGTGTATGTATAATGTATTGTTATAATTTTATAGAGTGTATATTGGAAATGTGTGCATAAGGTTAAATATTGGCGTGATTGTATAACATATAGGATAATGATAAAATTTTAAATAATACCCCAAGGTAACTGTATGAAGAGAAGGTATACGAGGGGGTATACTGAAGAGAGTAATAATCATATAATCTGATCGTATAACAGGATCATTGATTGAGGCTACATGATTAATACCAGAATACTTTTCAAAAATGGTAGAATTTACAATTAAATAATATCCCGGTGTTAGGTCACACAAAGTTAATTATTCGTTTTGCTTAGCCTGGTGTTCCGAAACTCCAGTCGGCGGGTCGGATTTTTTTTTTAGAAAAATTTTTTTTACTATAATAGATTCATGCTGAAGTAAGTATATAGAATATTTGTTAAATTTTTGTAAATAAACCAAAACAATAATCATGCAGGCGGCTTCGCCGCCTGTTTTAATAAAGGTTATATTTATATGACTATAATTTGGGTGCAGACAAATTAATGGTTTTCATGTTTCTAAATTAAGTGCGAAATAACGTGCAGGGGTGTAATTTCGATTTTTGGCCTAATTAAGCCTAATTCGGGCCATTATTCAAAATAACGCCCCTGTGCGTTATTTCGCGTTTATACGGTATCCTTTTTTCCCGACAAGACATATTTATGACAGTCTATTTCACCGATAGAAAATTTTACTAAATGATTTTTTCCCGATAGGACCATTTCCCTGACAATCTTAGCTTCTATAAGAAGTTTACCAACAATCTTTTTCACTGGCAAAAATTTTTTCTGACAGCCTTTTTCTCGACAAATATTTTGATATATTTCATTATTTTCCCGAATGATTATTTGGCCGATTCGATTCAGCAGTGATAAACTTTTGATTTGGTCGTAATTAGTAATATAGCGATAATGATATATATTTTTTGCGATTGTATTCTGAACGATATTACAATGTCAACAATCCAAAATTAATTTTTCGCTTGAATGTTTGTCCAGTATGTTTAGTGTGCTTAGTCTGTACGAAAATTTATGACGAAGATTGTTCTTGCCAAGCAGCAGGTTTTGACAAAAAACAAAAAGGATTCTGAATATAAGATATGAACAAGAATTTATTGACCAGAATAAAGAAAATATAACTCAAGTTATAATTCCAAACAACCAAGTTTTTATTAATATTTGTCGAAACTGCATTGAAAATTATAAACAAAATCATAGTAAAATTCTATAAAAGTATTTCTTTTATTTATGTAATATGAATTTTTAAATATAGACCAAAAAGCAAATCAGTAAGAATTAGATGAAAACATTGAAACGGTTGATTTAAGACCATTAGCTTGTTCACCTATGATAAATATTTTAAAAATGGCTAGTCTGTCTGAAATAATTGCTATTGAATCTGAAATATCCAACTTGTCTGAAGTTATAGCAACTTAATCTAATATGATCTGAAGCACAAAAATAGTGATATCGATATACATTATCTCTGTCATTAGAAAGATATGCACATTAATCAAAACCTTATCGATCGGCCAAAACAATCATTCCATTCGGTCAATTTTCTACTAGATGTCCCAAAATTAATGAAAACAGCTGTAATGTTCTGAGAAGTAAATGGTTTATCGGGAAAATTTATAATCGACTAAATAAATAATTCGGAAAAATGAGATATCAAAATCATGTATTGTTAGTAAATGGTTTGTCAGTACTATGGCTTCGGTAAAATGGTATTTCAGTGTTGATTTCGGGAAGTTAACCCGTAATCATTACTATATATATAGATAATAAATATTTATCACCTTGAATAATCCATTTCAAATACCTCAGGTCATAAATATTCATTTTTCACTTATACTAAATTAACATGAAATTAATAATGAATTAATATCGCTCTACTACTCACATGACCGATCAAAGTACTAAATTCGTTTCGTCCATCGGTTAAAGTATTTTAGCTCTTCTAATTTAGAATTTCAGAATTTTTACAAATAAAGTATCAGGTACAAACTTCTTAAGTATTTGTGATTTATCGAAAGTTACATTAGAACACTACTACAAGAAATTGGTTTTAGGACGACATAAGCCACATTGAAATAGAGTCTTGGAATGAAGATTTTTTTTATAAGTATAAAAAGAAGACACTATTCAGTATTAATACTGAAATATTAATTTTTAATTTTAAAATGGCCAATTCTATTTCGACCCGTCCATATACCTAAGAACTTTCAAAACTTTGAGCGAAGATATCTTGACAACCATCAAACTAATTCGTTAAAACTTTTGTATTTAAATATTATGGGTACATGGAATTTGAATAAATAAATTTTTATCGAATTTAGTCAGGTGGTTGTCGAGATATCTTCGCTCAAAGTTAGAAAAAAATCAAACGCCTATCTTTTGACGAAGATATCTTGACACCCATCAAACCAAATTCGATAAAACTTTTTTTATTTGAATTTTCTGGATACATCGAATAAAAAATTTTCCGTTGAATTTAGTCAAGTGGTTGTCGAGATATCTTTGCTCAAATTTCTATTTTGATCTAACTTTGAGCGAAGATATCTCAACAACCACCTGGCTAAATTCGATAAAAATTTATTTATTCAAATCCCATGTACTCATATTATTTAAATACAAAGTTTTAACGAATTAGTTTGATGGTTGTCAAGATATCTTCGCTCAAAGTTTTAAAAGAATTTGGTATTTTGATAGACGGTTTGATTTTTTTTCTAACTTTATCTCGACAACCGCCTGATTAAATTCGATAAAAAATTCTTTATTCGAATTCTATGAATTCATAAAATTCAAATAAAAGAAGTTTTATCGAATTTGGTTTGATGATTGCCAAGTTATCTTCGATCAAAGCTTTAAAAAGAATTTAGAGCAACTTCTATTTTGATAGGCGTTTTGATTTTTTTCTAACTTTGAGCGAAGATATCTCGACGAACACCTGACTAATTCGATGAAAATTTTTTATTCGAATTATGTGAATCCATAGAATTCAAACAAAAAATGGTTTATCGAATTTGGTTTGATCGTTGTCGAGATATCTTCGATAAAAAAGAAAATTTTGGTGCAACTTTTATTTTATAGGCGTTTTGATTTTTCTTCAACTTTGAACGAGATATCGATAATTATCTGACTAAATTTGATGAAAAATTTTTATTCAAATTCTATGAATCCATAGAATTCAAATAAAAAAAGGCTTATTGAATTTGGTTGAGATATCTTCACTCAAGGTTTTGAAAATTCTTGAGTATATATGGTCACATGATGGGTCACTTTGACCCGGGTCAAGATAGAATTGGCCTTTATATAAAATACATATAAAAATACAAAAGTCTTTTATTAAGCAGAATAATAAATCGGTAGAACATTACGATATGTAAGAATAATAAAGCTTGACGGATTGACATAAATTAATTTATAATAGCTAAAAATGATTATTTAATCTCAAATCCTTGGATTTAATTGAATTAAGTGTCGTCAATATCTTGTAATCAATATAATTATAGATTTCAAAATTCCGGAAGAATAAATTGCTATATCATTGCTCATAATTACACGTTCATCAGGCTATTGTCATAATTATATAATGCAGTCACATTAAACACTACGTTTATTCATCATCATTTTTATACTATACTATTATTAAACTATGCACATCAGCATTAATAATATAAAATAAAGACGGTACCTTAATATGAAAAAATATAAATACCAACTGGTATTACAGTATTAATTTATTGATTATCTCTTCCGATTTTTTTATTCTCGTAAAATTATTTTGAATTTCGGGATCAGAACTGGCAAGTATTGCATAATAATGTGATCTACTACCTTATATTTACCAAAAAAGGATATTTTAAACGTGGTTTTAAAAATTATTTAAAAGTTATTTCATTTTTTTTAACATTGTCTGACGCGCACTTTCTGTTTTAATTTTCGTATAATAGTTAATTTATCAATCTAATCAATTTCTAAAAAAATGGCTGAATGTTCAACACCATTTTTAATTAATTTAAACGAGAAAGGTGATGATAAAGATATTTCTGATATGTCTTTTACGAATCAAGGTCTTGATAAAACCGATCAGTGCGTTTCTAAGGCACAGCATGATGAGTCTGATGTAAATTTAGCTGAAGAAAATAATGAGATAGAAAGATATTATACTCCTGTACAAACTGTTCGTCGGCGTGTTGATCTCAAGGATGGTTCGACTTATTTTGATACCCCTAGGCCATGGTTACCTGAAAATTCTGGGAATCATGGACATCTACTTGAATATGATTCACCTACTCCTAAATCATCTTGGTCTTGTCCAGTTGATCTAACGGAAGATAAGCAAGAAATTTTCAATAACAATGAAAAATTAGAGATTTTTAATGAAAATTTATTACTTAATTCCGAAAATGACTTTCAAGAAAGCTACGAAAGTGAGAAAACTATTGACAATGAATCCAATGAGGAACATGAAGCAGAATATTCATCCGGCGATGAAAGAGATGTACTTCCTCGTGATGTCTCTTCAGATTCAATTTCCGAAATGGAAAAAGCATTACCAAAATACAAACAGAATATTCAAGAGATTGTAGAAAAATCTCATAATACATTTTCCTCTCAATTAGATAACATTTTTAGTGAGGTTCGGAAAAAGTTAGAAGCACAAGATCAAAAATTACATCAAAAAGTCTCAGAAATTGATTTAGATCATCAAAGTCGCATTGAACGACAAACTCAAGAAATTTATAATAATGTTGGTGCAAATATGAAGAAAGCTCTATCAGAGTTTGAAGAGGGTTTGAACGAAAATATTAGATCAAAATTTGACAGCTTTGATAAAAATATTCAACAATATATTGAATCCAAAATCAAAGATGAAATCGTGAATTCACAAAATTTCAGTGATGACACTACTCAATTCATAAATAATATGGAATCAATAATCGATAATAAAGTTGACAAATACATTCGTGAATTCTACTTTAAATATGATGATAAATCTGATGTCGATAGTATTGATGATGAATCCGGAAATCAAGAAATTAATCATCAGAGATATATATTAGAAGGCGAGGATAATAAAAATTATAACCTAGCTAATAAATTATCCGATATTGAAAAAGATATTAAAGATCAATATTCAGAAATCGATAAGAAAACTTCTAATATTGAAATCTCTCTTAAAAAAATACATGAGAATAATTTTAAACCTGAAGTAACTCAATCAAAGATTAATGATTATTCTGATAAATTTAATAACGAATTTCGAAATTTACAAGATTTAAGTAAAGAAACTGATCAAAAAATTCAAATTATCGAAAATGATATTAATAAATTAAAACAAGAAGTAGAATCTTTAGAATTCGAAGCAAAGATCGATGAACAATTGGAAAATAAGCTTAAAGAATATGATGGAAAGATCAATTATGCGGAGGAAGCAATGATTAAACTTGAAAATAAATATCAAGAATTGAGTGAGCAAACCACTAAAATTCTTGATACTGTCAAGAAAGAATCAGATAAAGTTGATGTCCAAATAGATGCATTGAAAAAAAGTGATGGATCGATAGAACAATTATTACTTAAAGAAATTCAAGAGAATGAAAATAGAATAATAAATAAACTTAAAGAAGACAGGGAAGCCAAACTGGCACAGATGATCGCAGCTGTTAAAGAGGAGGCAGCGAGAGTAATGGAACGGGTAGATATTCTGGAAGCTGCTGACAATACTTTAAGTAAGGTTTTAAAAGAAAATGAAGAGAAAGTTATGAAAATGATCGAGGAGGATAAAGTGGCCGCAGATAAAATTGTTCAAGAACGTATTAAAGAAGCGATCAATACATATACGAATGAATATGGTGAAACAGTGGAGCGGCGAGTTCTTGAGGCCGTTCAACAATACGAAGAACGTGTCAACAAATTGGAAGATACTTCTTTTGAACTTGAAAACACGTTCGCGGAGGAAATCAAAACAACAAAGGAAAAAAAACTTCGTTCTTTTGAAGAAGACAATCAAAAATTAAAAGAATCTAAACGAGAATATAAAGAAAAATTGTTGGAAAAAGATTTGGAGATACAAGAACTTAAAGTTACGGTAGCATCTAATCATTCTTTGGTCATACGACTTGAAGAAGATAAAGCTTCATTGGAAAGAAAGGTGAATGACTTGAGGACAGAACGCAAACAACTGGAGAACAAAGTCAAGGACTATGAGAATAGGTTTCATGAAGCTGATAGACGATATCGAAACAAATTATTGGCTAATGAGGAAGATTTAAAACGTCTTAAACAAGAAAATGAAAAATATGAAAAATGGGCACAAAAGGCTGGAAGTGAGAAAGTTCAATACAAAAGATTGTTAAACATTACAATCATTATATGTTGTTTACTTGGTTGCCTGACTGTTTATATTCTTTCGTAAGTTTATATATTTCTATTAATTTCGGCTTGTTTTTTTTTCTTTTTTTAAGGTGATTACTTGATATTTTTTTTCGATTTTCATATTATTATAATTAGTGTTCCTTTAGACGGTGGAATATTTTATTATCAGTACTTTTTTCCATATTAATTTTTTCCATATTAATATAAGAAAGTATTTTTATGCAACAAAAGATGTGTTAAAAAGCATTAAAACAATAAAGAATTAAAGGAGTTAGCAAAGTTATTAGCTAATATGAGTGATTGCAAAAAACTATTGGAAATTGATTGAATAGCAATTTTTTCACTAGCAAAAATTTTAACAGTATATAAATATAAAATAAAAAAAGTATTATTAAAAACTTTTTAATTAATCTTTGGTTAGTATATGTAAATTTGTTACTTTGTGGAATCTACGATAATATATAATATGGATTAAGGTAATATATAATTATATAATTATATATATATATATTTAGGGGACGCCTATTTCCACCATGTCTTTAACACGACTTAAAGCTAATATACAAATATCATAAGCTAAATTATTTATTATATATTTATCGATATACTGTATATATATATATATATATATATATATGTGTGTGTGCATAGTATATAATATGAATTTGTCCAATAAAATTCGTATAATGATCTTTTGGTTTAACCAACCATATTCGTGATTTGCAAGTTTTATACAAAACATGATTGGTAATTTTATTTAATTTAGGTAAACTCTTTTTCTATTTCGAACAATGTGGTTACTTTTATTACTATTTGCTTCTATCTTTTTCATTCTTTTCATTATAAGAATATATCAGATATTACCCAGTCGACAGTCAAGTTTAACATCAAAAACAAATGTCCACAAAAAATCACATCCTTTTAAAACTTGTATTGTTCTTGGATCAGGTATATATATATGGGTCGTTAAAATCATCGCATTTATTTGTTAAAATATAATGTTTTTTATGTCAAAAGGTGGTCATACCATGGAAATGGTACAACTTTTACGAGAAGTTGATTTCAATTCATTATATCGACCACGAATATATGTAGTAGCCCAAGGTGATCATTTGAGCTCCGACAAAATAAGAGCGCTCGAAAGTCGTAAAGGTGGGACAGAAACCGTTGATGTATGTAATTTATACTTTTTTTTATCCTTTAATTAACAATATTATGTGTACTAACTTAGTTTCGTCCTGAAAAAGTTTTTAATTAAAGTTATTCCACGAAGTCGTAACGTTGGTCAATCATGGTTATCGACTCCTTTTAGCGTTTTGAATTCATTATTAGCATGCATTAAAATCATATTACTTGATTTACCTGATCTGGTGATTAAAAATTCACATTACTTTCCGTGCGTAAAATATTAGGGTTGGTTTGGTCGGTCTCTAATAAGACCGGTCCCAATAGTATCTATCGGCCCTATTCAAGTAGTTTATCATCTTTAGCGATCGTTATCAAAATAAAATTCGTGCAATAATGGTTTAATTATTTAAAAGTTTATTTTAATAGTTTATTATTAACCAGTTAAAAGACTAAAAACCAAAAACCATGTGGCCAATCTTTTCAGGACCGAACCAACCCTAGTAAATATATCTCAAATTGTAATATATTTCTTCTTTACAGATAATATGTAATGGACCCGGAAGCTGTATTCCTGTTTGTGTAATATCTTACATCCCAAGAGTAATAATATATACATCCACTTTAAATATTTCTAATTGTTTTATTAAATCAAATTTCTAATTGCCTTTCTTTTTTTTAGATACTTGGAATAAAATGGATCAAGTTGATATATGTAGAATCTTTTGCTCGTGTTCGCACATTATCATTATCCGGAAAATTGTTATTAAGATTTGTCGATAGATTTATAGTTCAATGGCCGTACCTTGAACAAAAATATCCACAGGCCGAATACAAGGGAATACTTGTATAAATGCATGTTTTAGATGCAGTTGAATTATTATAAATTTATTTACTTTTTTTTTAAAGATCTAATTTATCAAAATAGACTAAAGTTGGTATTTATAATAATTTATTATCTTGAAGATTTAAATGGAATTAAATCTTGATTAAATATCTTAAACTATAGGATATTTGAATAGTTTGCCATGTTAAGATATTTATCAAAGATTTGAACAGGTTGTGGTAAACTAGAACACCCGGATAATATGTACTAATAATGCCTAATTAAACGTCAATAAAGTAATAAATAATTGATTTTGTTGATTTAATACTTGTATGTTGTTTTTAAAATAATTTTTTCTTTTTTTAAATTTTTCTAAAAGTTTTTATTTATAAGTTTTTTGATTTTTTTTGTAAACAATAAAGATTTTTCTTTATTTTTTTTTTAAGTTTTTATAATGTTTTAATATGTTTGTTTTGCTCTATTTTTTTTTGGCTTCTTGATATATGTTTTAAATGTTTTAGCAATTTTTTTGTCCCAATGCAATTAGCTTCTTTCAATTGAAATCAACCAGAGAGACATACAGCAATACTTTTATTACCAGATTTGTATATTAAAACTATACCAAAAACTAGCTCGTAGGACCTGGTGCTGCTCAGGTTCTAGTTTCTAATTTTTTCTAATTCTTAGGTTTATATATTTAAATTAGATCTTAGAACCCAGTTATTGGCCCAGGTTTGAGATTTTCATTTTTTAATTAATTCTTTATATAATATTGGAGATATTACCTAGGATCTAAAATTAATTATTATTTTTTAAAAAAAATTAAATTATATAAAAATTGCTAATCTTAACCTATGGTGTTACAGAAATCTAGATCCTTAAGACAAGAGTTATGTACTTCATTTAATCACTATCACAAGCCAGTGATTTGGGACCTGCGCTTTTGCTATATTTCGTCATAGACTTATATATAGATTGTGCAACATATTACTCAATAGCTATCCAGGGGATTTCCCTAGGAGTGTTTGGAGGTGCTATATTTCAAAAATGTACTAAGTAAACAGGATTGGGTATTTTAAGCAAAAATGCTCAAGACCCCTAAAAACCTTCCAAAAACTAATTCAAAACTTTATATCAAATATATATTACATTATATAAAAACTCTTATATATTTTAAAGCTTGGTTAAACATAGAGTTTTTCTTTTTATATATTAAATTATTGCTTTTTATTTTTTTTTATTAAATTATGTTTCTTTTCTTTTTATTAAATTATTATTGTTTATTTTTTTATATTAAATTATTGCCTTTTTTAGAAAAATTATTGTCTTTTTTTTTATTAAATTAATATATTTTTATTTATTTATTTTATATTAAATTATTGCTTCTTTTTTTAAAAAATTATTGTCTTTTATTTTTTAATAAATTATTTTTTTATTAAATTATCATGTATTTGGTTGTTTTTTATTAAAATATTATTTCTTTCTTTTTTTATTAAGTTATCATTTTTTTAAAAAAAAATTTATATTATATATTGGTTTTTTAAATTATTATTTTAAATTAAATTTTTTTTTTAATTATAAGGGTATAGCACCCACACTTAGACTTTATTTAATACTTAAATGATTGACATATAATGGTGCCGATACATATACACATTATATCAAGTACTAAGACTAGGACATCAGATATACAAACCATTTATTCACGGCTAAAACCCACCAGAGCAGATCATATCTTCACTATACAGCTAACCTGGATTTATATATTCCTCCCCAACCACCAATTAGTATTCACATGTCCACCACATTACCCACAAACGTTTTATCTTCAACTTCCAAATCTGTGTGTACCAGGTAGCCGCTTATTGCTTCTAGTTTGGTATACTTGGTAAAGTGATTTCTTTCTCAATTCTTACTTGGTATACTTTTTAAAAGTTTGTATCTCAAGCCATGTAGCTGTCTCTACTCAAATGAGTAAGTATCTCAAGCCTGCATACTGCCGTAACTAGCTGGTTTTTTGTGACTTTTAGGACTTAGATCTTAACATATCCAATTTGGTCTGTGCTAATGACTATACTTCCCAATATGGTAATAAGGCTGCCCAGGCATATTTCGCAAATGCTTCTAGTAGTTAGTATAGTTGGATGGCATCATGAGGCTCAGAGATAACAGATGTGTCATCGTTTTTTTTTATAGTGATTCTTGGCAGTTGTAGCCTCCGGTTACTACTATATTAGCTATATCTATATTGGTAGTTCTGAGTCCTCTTAACACCAAAGGCTTCCATAGGTATGACCAGAGCCTGTTAGGTCTATCAATACATACACGCCTCCATGCTTCAACTTCTTATTGGTTAGTGAGTTCTGTATATGCCAGAGGTGTTCCAAATCTGGTAAGGCCAATTTTTTATTACAGGTCCCTTTGTGTTTATCACATTTTTTACCACTTTCCAATTCTGGTTATCACCTGGTCATTCTCTCAAACAAAATCTCCAATGCCACCTTAGGGGTTGTTGGTGCTACCTTGCCAATTGCGAATTTATACATACAACCTTTGTGTAATAGAATCTTCTGTAACAACTACTATTATATATAGTACCAACTACTTCACAATGGACCTCCTTCTGGAAATTCCTAATTTAGACCTGTATTTATTTGGACTTTCTATAGCAGATACTTTTAAATATTTGTAAGTAAATATACCTACTAGAACTTGAACCCGAAACTCGCTTGTGGAGAGTTGGATGCCTAGACCACTAGGCCGTGAGATCCTAACCTCTTATTTTAAATTAAATTCTTGTTTTTAAAAATTATTATCATTATAATTATTATTTTTTTATATTTTGATTTTATATAAATTTTGATTTTTTTTTTTTTGCTTTTTTTCAAAAATTATTTAAACTTTTTAAACTTTTTTTAATTTTTAAATTTTTTTTTATTTTTTTTTTATTTTTTAAATTCCTTACTAAATTATTATTTTTTTTAAATTATTATTTTTTTTAAATTATTATTTTTTTTAAATTATTATTTTTTTTAAATTATT